TATCTATCTATCTATCTATCTATCTATCTATCTATCTATCTATCTATATCTTGAAAGAGGTTTTGTCATAGAAACAATATTTCTCCACCTCTGGGAGGTGAAGTCCAGACACCTTCCATTAGCCACAGGTGAGAAGCATCCCAGACCAGGTAATGCCACTCTGGTTCTGGCACTGGGAAAAGCCGGCGAGGTCTTGATATGGGATCCTTAGACTCTGCCATTCCCAAACTGGGAAAAAGGAAGACGAAGAAAGTCAGCCGTCCAACACATACTTAATAAGCAGCACTTAAACCTCCTTAAGTGTCATTAAGCACTGGCCTATGGCACCGAAAACATCTGAAGAGGAAGAAACACTGAACAGCCAAGGAAAGAGTCTAGCAGTAGTTGGTAAGGAACGTTTACACGTGGATTATGTGGGGAGGGAAGAAAATTACGGGTGATCCTTGACTTACGACCAAAATTGGGCTCCCTTGTAAGTCAAGGACGACCTGGAAAGTACCCAGAGGCTGAGCGTCGTCTGAATGCCTGACTTTCTTTCACAATTCCTTTCAAATTAAAATGCAAAGTATCTGCTCAAGTATCATCCCGTCCATCCAGCCGGTAATGGAGAGCAAACAGACCGACTTTGAAAGCTCAAACAAAGCCTCGTCTGTCCAAGAAAAAGATGCTGGCCTGGCTCTCCAGCCACGTTACCCAGAAACCGTGAAAAAGAGCTGCTTGGGACCCAGAGCCATTCCTGCTGCTTACACAACAAGAGAAAATAACGCAACAGAAGACCTCCTGCCCTGAAGGACGCGGGCTGTGTGTGTGTGTGTGTGTCTTGCAGAGATCGTTGAGCTCCTGAGCGTGAGTAAATCTCCTCGGGCTCTACACCAGATTTCTGCACCTTGGTGTTTCAAAACGACTGGCCTCCATTGGATGCTTGCTCACCCGCTCCTTCAGCTATGAATCTCCTCTCAAGGGCATTGAGAGCGGGGCGTACGTTGGCCAGCGGCGAGCCGTGAATTGCTTTTTTTTAAAAAAAAAAAAAGAAAAAGAAAAGAAAATGGGCGATGGGAATCCATCCTGGGAGGGAGCTCACATCTCAGCCAGGAGGAAGGGGCCGGCGGTCTTCTCTGGGATAAATTAACTCCTCGGAGGTCCTTGGTGCTCTCTGAGCTTGGCGCTTTCGGGGCAGACGTTTCATGACCCAACGAGGTCATATCATCCGTGCTACAAGGGAGTGGGGTTGGTGAAGAAAGGATGTGGGGGGTCCTTGCTGCTCTCTGAGCTTGGTGGTTTTCTTCTAGACGTTTCAGGACCCAACAAGGTAACACCGTCAGTGTTAGAAGGGAGTGGGGTTTGTGGAGGGAGGGAGGGAGG